ATGGACCTGTTGGAGCGGGGCCAGAGGAGGCCACCAAAATGATCAGAGGGATGGAACACCTCTGCTATGAGGAAAGGCTGAGAGAGCTGGGGTTGTTCAGCCTGGAGAAGACAAGGCTGCGGGGAGACCTTATTGCGGCCTTTCAGTACTTAAAGGGGGCTTATAAGAAAGATGGGGACAGACTTTTAGCAGGGCCTGTGGTGATAGGACAAGGGGTAATGGTTTTAAACTAAAAGAGGGTAGATTTGGACTGGATATAAGGAAGAAATTTTTTACGAGGAGGGTAGTGAAACACTGGAACGGGTTGCCCAGAGAGGTGGTAGATGCCCCATCCTTGGAAACACTCAAGGCCAGGCTGGATGGGGCTCTGAGCAACCTGATCTGGTTGCAGATGTCCCTGCCAATTGCAGGGGGGGATGGACTAGATGACCTTTAAAGGTCCCTTCCATCCCAAAGCATTCTGTGATTCTATGATCATTAATTCATTTTACCACCAGGTTCAATCATTTTGCAGGGGCAGACTGCCCAAGACAACAGTGCTCATTACCATCCTGGGACAGCCTAACCCCACTAAAGGCAGTGGGCTGGTGGAAATTACTGAAGATGTTAAAAAACAAACTGAAATTGGACATAGCATTAAACAAGAACTTTTCCCAGTGTGGTAACCAGGTCTGGTTTAGCACTAGTTTATTACTGTTTGGTTTTTTTTTTTTTTCCTGATCTACTTAAAGATCCCTGTTAAATTAATAGCTAGGAATGGCTAAATTTGAGGAACCGCTATTAACTAGAGTGGACTTCAGCATTTCCCAGTTCTCAGCCGGTGGTTGCCAGTATTTGTAGGATAGGGGGGCAGGGGGGAACCTGTAAATTTGAGTCAATTCCTATTTTATGAACAAGAGCACACACTGCCTCTCCACATTCCTCTGACACACTGTCCACACTTTCCCAAACTGGACCTCATTTATGCACAAATAGATTCCTCTACACATTAAACACATGAATTCTGCAAGCCATCCGTAATGAATGTAAACAGAAATGTGGGGGAAAAAAAGGTCCGACCCACTACCCAACATACAAAATGACAACAAAGCATCATTAACACGGAACCACTGGTTGCTAGGCCCTGCTCATAAACAGCCTTGACAAATCTTCCCAAAACATTTCAAACAAAAAAAGCACACTGCTATCATAACACACTGTACGTTGATCACCCAGTGGAATAGGTATTTAGATAAATTCAGGGTGTCAGCTAGCCCTTTCAACTTTAGCTTCTGAGACTGCAATTCTTTGAGAATCGAGTCAAAACTTTCTGGGTTAAGTATCAGAGGACAGACCAACTTCGGCGGCACTGCGGCGGGCATCTGACAAAGCCCACCTGACCAGAATAGGAAGTAGCTGAAAATTTCTTTAGATAGCTGGAACAAGTCTCTGGACAGCAAACCCTGGCAGACTTCATCTTAGCCACTCTGGCATCTGCTAGAAGGGCAGGAGGTTTGTGCAGAAGCAATCCAAGAGATTTATGGAGACCATCAAGGCCAATTTCTTGACACAGGTGGTCAATGAGCCAACTAAGGGAGATTCTCTGCTGGATCTGTTACTCAAAAAAACCCAAACAAAACTGATCAAAGATGGAAAGGTGAAGGCAGCCTTTCCTCCAGAGACTGTGAAGTGTAAAGTTCTTGACTGCCCATGCAGTGAAGCAGCCAAACTTTATCCAGAGCTGTACCAACAAAAGTGGAGCCAGCAGGTCAAGAGCAGGGAGCCTTCTCCCCTATTTGACACTTTAAAGACACCTGCATCCAGTTTTGGCTCCCCAGTATAGTGAGAGCATCAATCTGAGTACAGAAGGCCACCAAGATGATCAGGGGACTGAAGCATAGGATGCACAAAGAGACTAAGACCTGGGTCTACTCAACCTGGAGAAGGTGAAGGGGGATTTATTGCTGCCTATGACTACCTAATGCAAGCATGTACTGAAGATGGAGCTATACCCTTCTCAGAGCTGCAGAGGGATAAAATGAGAAGCAATGAGCATAGGCTGCAACACAGAAAATTCCAGTTAAATGTACAGAAAAATATTTTCATCTAGATGGTGGTCAAATATTGGGAGACAAGCCTAAGGAGGTTATACGATCTCTGTCCCCAGAGACAACTGAAACTCAGCTGGGCAAGCTGATCTCCAACCTGATCTAATCTACCCTGTCCTGGTGTGAGGACAGGGATGAACCAGAGACCTCCAGGTGGCCCCTCCTAAATAAATTAGTCTATGAATCCATGATCCAAGTCCAACAGCAGAACTACAACCCTGTACTTCAGGATAGCAGATGCTCAGCTGAGAAACAGGTTTAGAGAAGCCAAAGCCCAGCTAGAGGAAACTAACAAAGAATGACAACACCCAGTCCTTGTTTTTCTGGTGCATTTGTTCTACAATGACGTTTTCTATCGTCATCATTCTCCGACACATGCAGCTATGCATGACACAAGGTGACCATCACCTATATTTAGACATGTACTGCAACTGCATGTGTGTCTGTGGAGCTCAGTGTATATGCAAGTTTAAAGGATAATCCCCTTTGGGATTTGCAGGACAAATTCAGTTAAAATTGGTGCTTTTTAGCAGTCAATGCAAAACAAAGCAATGAAGAGAGTTGCATACTGAGCAACACCTTGTTTACTCATCCCCTCTTTTCCTCCTCCAACAGCTCATACTCTACACCATCTGTTTTAATTGCTCACTGACATCACACCTGGTGCTTGGACATGAATCTCAGAGCACTTCAGGCATGTTTTTAACATTATAGAATCACTTAGGTTGGAAAAGACCTTTAAGATCAAGCCCAACTGTTAACCTAGCATTACCAAGCCCACCACTAAACCATGTCCCTAAGCACCACATCAACCCATCTTTTAAATACCTCCAGGGATGGGGAGTCAACCACTTCCCTGGGCAGCCTGTTCCAGTGCTTGACTACGCTTTCAGAGAAGAAATTTTTCCTAATACCCAATCTAAACCTCCCCTGGCACAACTTGAGGCTGTCTCCTCTTGTCCTATAGTTTGTTCCTTGGGAGAAGAGACCAACCACCACCTCGCTACAGCCTCCTTTCAGGCAGTTGTAGAGAGCGATAAGGTCCCCCCTCAGCCTCCTCTTCTCCAGCCTAAACAACCCCAGCTCCCTCAGCCGCTCCTCATAAGACTTGTGCTCTAGACCCTTCACCAGCTCTGTTGCTCTTCTCTGGCCACGCTCCAGCACCTCAATGTCTTTCTTGTAGTGAGGGGCCCAAAACCAAACACAGGATTTTAGGTGCAGCCTCACCAGGGCCAGGGAATTATCACTGCCCTGGTCCTGCTGGTCACACTATTTCCAACCGTCCATCTTCTCACATCCAGAAACAGAGGTGGCCTGCTGTATAATGTTGACTGAAGAGGACAGTGGCAAGAGAGGACTTCCATGACACATACAGAGATATATCTGTGTGGGCAGAGCAGAAGAATGTTCTTCCTGCAAAATTCAGCCCTTCAAATATTTAAATAACCCAAGGAGCAGCTTTTCCCAGCTCAAGCATATGATGCAGGCTAGCCACAGCACTGGCTTTTGCCTTGAGGAAACCCCATATGGATACATTAAATATTTGCAGTAGCTTAAGGATCACACAAAAGTAAACAAATCCATGGCAAAATCGAAAGCATCTCACTATACAAAACAAATCAGGCCACAGTCAGATCTTTAATAAAAGCACTTTGAGTCAGTGACAAACAAGATACAGTGGACATGACAACTCAGAAAAATCAAGTTGGGGGTAGAAGTGTGCTGCTGGTGCTTTCAGAGGATCGAACAAGGTCCCTAAACCTAACCATCCCCTCAGTGGCTTCTCAGCCCTTCACGACAAACTAGAAGGCTGCTAAAAAAGCTACTCTTGCCTCAGCCTCCCCGAGTTGGCATGAAAGAAGCCTAGAAGGGTCCTTGTTCTGACCAAAACTGATGCAGAAAATTAACCCAGAAAAAAAACCTCCAGCTCTAATCTCCGAGTACGAGATCAAGATGATTTTATAGGAAGGAGACCAAGCAACCTGTACTCCTCCTGACTTCCTCCAGTTTCACAATATGCACTTCAGCTAGGGCAGCTTTGTGGAGAGAAGCCTGACACTGCCAGCCTCCTAATAGGATTTATCTAATTTGAGCAGGGCATGGGAGAAAGCATCTCCCTGTAGAAACCGTTCCCCATCTTATTGGTCAGTCTAGTCAGAGAGGCTGGTCAGCCACATGTTTGACAAGACTACGCATTTTCATTTAGCAATCTTCTGTCCTGCTCCCCTTATTGGGACATTAGGAGACAATAAAAGGCGCATTGGATCCTTTTCACCATGACATTAGCTAAGTAACCAATTCTAATTCCAAGAGTCAGAGTGATCCTCTTTCACTAACGAATAAGGCCCTGAAGCTCCCTTGGTAAGGGGAGGGGTTCTGCAGCACTGAGAAGAGTATGGCAAAGGGCTTGTTCTCAGAAGCCCAGCACACACAAGAGCTTTGGAAGGTTGTATCCCTGCGCTTTGGTCTTTGGGTAGTGCCACCTGCTCAGTATCTGTAGTGGTCTGGCTTGAATGGCCCATCTCTTGATAAGCCTAGGTATTTGGCCTGCTTGTCACTCAGCTTTGTCAGCTTCACACACAGTTTATCCAGATGAGCAGCAGCCACAGCTTCATCCAGCTGGAAAACAAAACATTGAGTTCTATTAGTTCAGGAAGTCATGGTCAATAGTGAGAAACGAATACGTGAAAACCAACAGCAGCCCCAAGGAGGACTTAACAGACCAACACAGATGAACAGTCAGACAGCTCTTTTCCTTCCAACATACCTCACCTGCTTGAGCATAGAGGCATCTAATTTGAGCACAGAATGCATTCAGATGGAAAAGCCCCATACTTTTGAGGGAGTCAAGTTAAGCTTAAGCGAGACAGACAACTTTATATAATCAAGCCCCTTTCAATCTCATTTACACATGAGATTTCAATCTCATTACACATTTACACACAATACACTCATCCATCCAACAAGTAAAGAACAGAAACTGTTGATAGATAAGAATATCCAGTTTGGTAGAATGGTAAAGCCATCTATTATCTTACAATTTTAGATAAGTTCTAATACTGGGAAAAAATGCATCTCCTTTCCAGATATCCCATCTTAGGGA